GTTGTGGTGCTCCTAAATTTTTGGTGAGTGCTCCTAAATTTTTGCTGGTGCTCCTAACTTTTTGAAGTTGGGAGCACCAGTGCTACCAAGTAAAAAAGTTAATTTCGAGCCCTGTTTTACATTAATGTATAAAAGAAATATTTAAAAAAATGAAAATTATTTTAGGAAAATATATATGAAAATGTGAAAAAACAACAACTGTTTCAAATAAAGCTAGTAAATAATTAATGTTGCACCCAAACATATCCAAAATCTAGGACTAAAAGATGTGTAAAATCACCACTGCACTTGAGCTGACATGAACTTCACACGTTTGAATTATGCATGAAGATTTACTGAGCTGAAAGATCAATGTGCATTTACCTTGCCTGGCCTCCTCTTCCAGCAGATCTGTGTGCATGGCCAGGTACCTCTCCTCATCACACAGAGCCTCTATCCTGGCCTCCTCCTCGGACAGCTGGTAATCGTGATTCCACGAGCCTGCGTCATATTCCGAAAGATCATGTAAATGACCGCGGCCATCGTACCTGCAATACGAATCACGTGGTTAAAGGCGAGAGGAAATTAACATTGGATTACATACAAGAAATACTCACCACACTGAAGAACCCTAAAAGTAAAGCCATTTTTATATTCACATATATGCTTTTCTTTCAAAATGCTACTTCGCTTACAAGGTTTGCTTGAGGAGGTGTGAGAACTGAACAATGCCTGGGCGGCAAAAGCAGACGACCTATGTGATGCGCTCCAGACGGTATACGTATCAAGAGATGAGTGCACTTGCATGATATACTTACTAAATCCGTCTAATTCTTCACTAAAACCATAAAAAGACGCAACAGGCCTGAGTAAAGAACGAATTAACAAAAACAAAAAAAAACGCAAACAACTCTCCTCTTACCTTACATGGTTCAACAAACCATTCCAACTTTGAGACAACTGCCATCATCATTCCTACATTTACTGTAAAAGAAGTACATCCACACAAGCCCGAGTACATAAATACCTATCTGTAAGAACCCATATGGAGGAAATTTTCCTGCGCTCGCTCCTGTATTCCACTTCTCAGTTCCAGTTTCTTCGGCAAAAGAGAGAAGTGGGCGATGAGGTGGCAATCGGGGCCTGGCGGGACCCCTTAGCCTTAATTGCTGAGGAAATAAGTTGTGTATTATGTGATAGAGAGACACACATACACATTGGAAACAAGAAAACAGATCCATGCAGATTAAGGTGGCTCAATGCAACCTGCTGCATTTCAACACACTCCTGGCTCGTTACCAATTCTCACATTTTTTAAAACGACTGCAGCTGAACTGGAAAAAGTGTGGAGCAAGAGAGAAAACACATGAGGAATGCAATATTCGACTGACTATGTGTGAGAAGTGCTTCCTGCAAAAGAACAATGTTAGACTTGGGATCTACAGTATGCACAAAGACAGAATTCATATAATGGGATTCAAATCATATATCACTTCATATGTGAGAACCACCTTAATGCACAGACTAATTTACAGTGAATTTCCTGTGGTTTGCATTTAATCGAATAAATGCAACACAAATGTGACCAAAGCAGATTCCCCAAGTACTAAGAAGCAGAGGCATCACATGACCAGTACATTAGGCCCATATTATGACTCATATTCACTTATTGTAACATTGTACAATAAATTCATAATTCCTATTTATATATCAGTCATATTTATATTGATTTAGATATTAGATTTTAAATTATATAAGCGAGGGCCAAGTGAGCAAGGACTCTGCTTTGGATTTCAAACATTCCTAACCTTGCAAAAATAAAAAAAAATATGAAAACTCTTAAATCAGCCTAAGCCGTTTTGCTGGTCTCCTGAATGGTTTTAGAGGGCCCTGGGCACTTTTTTAGCCTGTCAGGCTGGAAGACAAACTGAATACCAGCGTGGCCAGGCTGCGAGACTAGCTTAAACCAGCTAAGGCCAGCAAACCATCTAAGGCTGATTTAAACTGCTTTTTGAAACATTTGTCAGTGCTGTCAATGCATTGAGCTTACATATAATCACAATCCAAGCAAGTTATCTTAGATCTGTCAATGTCAAGTTTTTTTATTCGCGTTTGGCCATATAAACATCACACAATGCCATCAGCTCCTCCTGTGCTGCAAAACAACAAATACATCCAATGTCCCTTTGGAAGACATTAAGTTGGTTAAGTAATGATTCCCATTAGGTTTGTTTAACCGACCTATCGATCATGATGTTCTTGTCCCCCATCCATGGGATAAGGTGTTTGCCTTGATCGTGGTAGATGGCCCGTTCATCGTCCCGGAACAGCTTACAGGCGTAGCCGAACACCAGCAGCTCCGCATACTTGCTACTGTCGCTCTGCTCCTTAGTCGCTTTATTATGGTCCGTCTTGCTTCCCCCGCGCCGGTACATTCCAGAAAATATCCGCAAGACACACGAAACAAGCGATAAACTGCTAGAAATGTATAACCATTTCTTTAAAGGTGGGAAAAGTGAAATAAAATATGTGGGCTAACAACTGCTCCAACATACATCAACACACACTGAATCAAATATGGCGTGTTGAAGAACGTTGCGTTTCATAGTCGCAGATTCGTTGCACTGTTTCGTTAAACTGAATGCGTTGCTGCTGTTTTAGTTTGTAAAAAAAAAAATATTTAAATATAATTTGTGAGCTTTTACAGCATTTTAACATTTTTGGTATCCACTTAGATAGGAGAGATGGATACCATTATTATTCAAGACGAAAACGTCAACGTGAATGTGAAAATGATTTGACCGTACTAAACTTGTAGGCTACTGAACACAGAAACAAAAAAGTCAGAGAAACAGTACAGTAGACATTCATCGAAAGAAAGAAAGAAAGAAAGAAAGAATAATGTATACTGGGCTGTTTTTAGTTGATGAATTGGAGAAATGGGGTACACAATAGGGACCTTTTTCTTTTTTATGGTCAATGATAGGAGGTGCTGCAATGCAAACTAAATTTTATATGAGTTGTTTTATTTTCTACAAATTTTCAGTGGGGTTTGCAATTTTTCTGCAACACTGTTACCAGTGTTTAGGACACATCGGAATATAGCTAATTTAAACCCTGACATGTGTTATTTCTAGCTATAATCAATGTTTTTGGAAATAAACATCAATATTTGAATATATAATTTAAACATTAAACAAAACTATACTGGAATGGGTAATGGGTTAAGATTTGCATATTCATCCAACATGATGCTGGGATTGTAGATTTGCCCAAAGAAAAAGCAAAAGAAACATCACTTACACTCTCTCTCTCTCTCTCTCTCTCTCTCTCTCTCTCTCTCTCGCTCTCGCTCGCACGCACGCACACACACACATATCTGGTTTAGTATCCTTGTGGGGACTCTCCATAGGCATAATATTTTTATACTGTACAAACCGTACACCCTACACCAACCCTACACCTAAATCTACCCCTCACAGGAAACTTTCTGCATCTTTACATTCTCAAAAAAAAAAAAAAAACTCATTCTGTATGATTTATAAGCTTGTTTCCACACAGTGGCACGAGTCCCCATGAGTCAGTGTGTATTCAGGTTTAAGTTCCCACTGGAATAGAAAACATTGTATACACACACACACAGTTTAGTTATCAGTAATCTTTAATTTAATCTACTCCAAGGAAGTTGTTGCTGTAACTCTCTGATAATATGGTTATAATTAGGTGTTCTTTATTGGTTTCTGGAGCACAAATAGAACACTTTTAATTTCACTTTATGCCTTTTATGTCACTTTAGGACTCTGAGAATTTTCAGAGTCCTAAGGGTGTCTGTCTGTCAGTATTATCTTTAAAATATTATAGATAATATAATAATAATATATAAAATATTATTCTTTTTAATTAATAATTATTGCTAATCATATAGCTTTATAGCTATTTTATATGAATCCAAAATTTATATTTCAGATTTATTTCAATTAATATAAATGTTTTTAATAGTTTTAGTTTTAGGTAGCAATAAAAAAAACCTGCACTGTTAAAAATTTCCTGTAGAAATTACAGTAACTTACTGGCAGCAGTTCGCCAGTAACTTACTGTAAATTAAACTTACAGTAAAACTACTGTATTAATATTTACAGTACCATTTAACTTGCTGTAAATGTATGTACAGTATGTGTACTGTACTTTGTTTTTACTGTAAAATATACGGTAATTTTATGGTCTTTTCTCCAGTAACATATTGAAAAAATATATATATAATTTAACTGAAAATAAGCAATGACAACTGTATAACTTTAAATTTTTTAATTGTTCAATTGTATTCCTTGCAATAACATTTTAATATTTTCACAGATTACAGTAAATGAAAAATACTGTATTTTAATGGCCCAAGAGGATATTTCCCATAATGCAACTTTAAAATACAGTAACGTACTGTATAACTGTTTTACAGTAAAGTACAGTTCATATTACAGTTAAATACTGTGTAATTTACTGAAATCGCTAACAGTGTGTGTCTTTGCATGTTGTAGACAACAGTCACATTTTCTTCAGGATAGGTTTTATAAAGAATGGTCTGCACAACTTTACAACATTTGTGTTTTTAAACCTTCCATAATGCATAGCTTCCATTTTAAAACTGAGAGATATGTGAGATTTGTCAGATATGACTGCGGCAATCAAAGGCATGTTGCAATTGCTGTTAGTAGAGTTGAACTTGATCTGAAACCACAACATTCCTTTAATAACATGATTTTTATCTCAACAGACACCACACCTGTGAACATGCTTACTGAACATGCTTACAGATCATGCAGCACAATCTGAAATGTTGGCTATGTCATTTTTAAAGACACATTTCATTGCGAGTTCACATAATGTTAAGAGCTGGATCTGGTAGTTTAGTTAGGCGGTCTAGCAGGTTTTGTGATTTTAAAGAAGATAGTCACACCCACATTTTGCAATAAATATAAAGACAGCCCCAAACATAAACGGGTGAGCAAGACAGGGGACTTGAAGTCTTGAAATCTTAATGGCAAACAACAATTTTTTATTCACTTATTCGCTTATTCACTTTTTTAACACGTATAAATGATCTATTACAATAAAACAGGCATACTTTTCCTGCAGAGCCATGTTTTCACTTGTATTATTCTCAGGTATGGAACCTTTTTACTTATTTTGAATCCTCATCTTGGTTATTTACAAATATATGCGGTGGGAGGGAGAAATACTTCTGTTTTTGCATTCTTGCTAAATTATTACATTTGTATGATTTTGTTGTATGTGTGTGCACTTCAGTAGTTACAAGACAATCTGTCCTTTCCACACGCTCATTGTCACAAATGTGCTTATTTGATTTGTGACCTAGAAATTTGGTAAAGATTTGTGCAGAATTTAGAATTTTCCATATTTCCTGTCATAATTTTCTTTGTTTTAGATTTAGATTTAGATTTAGATTTCCAGTATATATATATTATACTTTGGTAGGCCGTTCCCTTGCCTTTCATGTTATCAAGTTCTGTATTCATGTTTTTTTGTATTTTAGAATGAAGTTGAAATTTTAAAATGTATAAGTTATAATTTAAATCATTATCAACAATGATAAAGATCCTGATTTCCTTGTTTATTTATTTATTTATAAAAGGTAGTGTTGAAATTGAATGGAAAGCTGCTAAACATAAAAAAAAAGTGCATAGCATGACTTTCACATTATGCTTTTAATAAGGTAATCTTGACAAGTTTGTTGATGTTAAGTTCTGCTTTAAAAACGTTGGGAGGTTAATTGTAGGCTACCTAACAGGTTTTGTGATGTTAAAGAAAATAGTCAAACCCACAAGTCACAGACAGGTGACTTGAAGTATTAAATCCTAACAGTAAGTAACAATTTTGACAAAACTGGTTAATTACTTTTGTAACAAATGTATATGTATATTTTTTCTATCTATCTATTTATTTATTTTTTATGTTTTTCTTTTATATTATTTAGTTTGTTATTTTGTGTGAACTGAGCAAGAATATTCTAGTCATGCAAAAGTTGTTTTGTTGACCTTTTGTCTAAAATGTGTCCAAATGGTCCAACAAACCATTTTACAGTGAACAACTTTGCACAAGTTCCTAGCATGCATTGCTGCTTGAAAAAATTCTGTGGTAACAATTAAACAAAGTCTAAAAGTAACCAATAGAAGCCATTTTAAAGAAGTTAAAAAACATCTCTGCTACAATTTAGTGTAAAAGCAACCACTGGAGTCAATAATATTTCCAGTATTTCTTTTAAGAGTGTCTGTTAAATGTGTTGCTTTTTTTTTCTAAAAGTTAATTTGATCAACCTTAGGAGGCATTAGCACATAAATGGGATCAAAGATAACACATATGAACTAAAAGACATAAAACTCTAATTAATATTTAAAGGGGTCATATGATGCGATTTCAAGTTTTCCTTTCTCTTTGGAGTGTTACAAGCTGATTGTGCATAGATAAGATCCCTGAAGTTGCAAAGACTAAAGTCTCAAAACCAAAGAGATATTCTTTATCAAAGTTAAGACTCTGCCACGCCCCCCTAAAACGGCTCGTTCTAACACGCCCCACATATTTAGGGCCCTCAAGTCAAAATATTATGCATTATATTTATATTATATAAAATAAGGTTAATGTGTGGTTGCAGATCTAGACAAAACACTTCTTAAGACCAAGGAAGGAATGAAAAAATAGTGGGGAGTTTTGACCTCATATTTGGACACCTTTTCACATTAAAGAAAGAGATTTTTCTTTATTGTCTTCTTTTAAACATACAGGTAATTTTGAGAGTCACAGTGGTGTATCTGTATATCTTATAGATAAATATTTTTGGTTTATGGTGGTTTGGACCTTATATTGATTACCTATCAGGGTAATTAATGGTCAATTATCATTGCCATTATAGTAATGGACTTTCTTGCGGACTTCCAATGGCTGCCGTGTGCGCTTGTCCATTAAGTCGACGAGATCGTATAGTGTCCCATTCGTCATGTTAGCTTTCAGAAGGGTTCTCGCGAATGCCCCCTTTGTGGCCCTGTGCGCCCTCTATGTGCACTTCTGCCGAGCCCAGACTAAGGCTAGCTCCACAGCAGACTTCTACCCGGCAGTCAAAGCAGCATAACTTCATGAAAGTGTGGACTCAGATGATTTGAGACAGGGCCTCTAGTATCTGATAATGGACATAACTGAGATCATGTGATGTGGTCATGTGATCTCAACATAAGGCAACTTTTGTGTTTTCAACAGGTTTCTTTACCCTCACACTGTGTGCCCCTCAGTATGTCTTTGTAAATGAGTCCAAGACTTGGGCAGAAGCTCAGAGATACTGTAGAGATAAATACACTGATCTGGCCACCACTGAAAATGAACAACAGACAGTCCAGTTGATCGACACAGTGAATGATGATTCCATTGATTTGGCCTGGATTGGACTCTATGATGATCTGAACAGTTGGAAATGGACTCTAGGGGACAGTGATTTATTCAAGGTTGGAGAGAAAAACTTCAGGAATTGGTATGACCAAGGACCAGGCAATTCTGGAGGACAAAGTCTGTGTGTGTATATGAATAATGGGATATGGTATGCAGCAAGCTGCTCCAATTCATTTTATCTTACGGTCTGCTATGATGGTGAGCTATTCTATTAAAATGCGTAAGACGGTGAACAAAATTGAAAACAACTAAACCATCCTTTCTCTGAACTAAATATGATATTCATATTTTTCAGGAAGAGAAAATGCCAGCGCAACTTATGTTTTCATTTACCAGTACAAAAACTGGACTGAAGCTCAGAGTTACTGCAGAGAACATCACACAGACCTCATCAGTATCAGGAATGAGACTGAAAACCAGAAGATCCAGTATTTATTGCGAAATTATTATTATTATTATTATCACAATGTTTGGATTGGACTGTACAAAACCAGATCTTGGTCAGATCAGAGCAACACTTCATTTACTTACTGGAGCACATGGCAACCAGATACTGCAGGATCCTGCACTGTAGTCTCATTTAGAGACTCTGGGAAATGGATGGATGAAAACTGCAATTATGCATTTCCTTTCTTTTGCCACAGTGGTGAGTAGATCTTAAAGGCTGTTCACACCAAGGACGATAACTGTGACAAAAGCGATAAAGATACACATCACACCTATAAAAACTATAAAGTTCACAGCACAACTATAGCAACGATAAGGAACGATATTGTTGGAATCACTTTTAGAATGATTTTTCCAGCTGATGGATGATACAAACTTTGACAATTAGCCAATCAGAATTCACTTTACTTTAAAAAGCTTGAGCATTTAAAGTGGCAGACAACATAACTGCAGCGTGCTTATAAAAACAGAATTTTATCGTTCATTGGTGTGGACACTAATATAGTTACCATTATAGTTATCATTCTTGGTGTGAATGGCCCTTTAAGAGGTTAATAGTTCAGCCAAAAATATTAATTCTGTCATCATTTATTCACCCTCATGTCATTTCAAATCTATATGCATTTCTATCTTCTATGGAATGGAAAAATCTCAAAATATCTTCTTTGATGTTCTACAGAAGAAATAAATTAATACAGTTTTGTAACAGCATTAGGGTGAGTAAAAGATGACAGAATTTTCATTTTTGGATGAACATCTTTTCTCTGTCTTTAACATTTTCTAGCTTGGATAGTAATTCATGACATCTATCCCATATTGCCTCAATGTGATCATATAAATTGCAAAAAAGTACAGACATACAGTTTAATGAGGTTAAAGAGTCTAAAACTATATTGAAAATTTGGGTTTCAAAGTCTAATCGAAACCTGCAAATAAACGAAGCTTTTGGAACTTACAAATGTAAAATAAATGTAACAATGTTAAATATTCAAAATTCAGCCATTGATCAAATAAGCAAATTTGTGACACTGATCAAGTGAACTCCTTGGTACAAAAAGCATATGCTTTTTGAATCATCTGAAATCATGTTGGAGAACATGATCATAAACTTTAACACAAACTTGAGAAGTACATGAAGTTTGATGGCTGATGTCATTACAGCAAAAGGAAGAAAAACTAAATACTACAGATTTTGAAATTTGTGTCTATTTTTTAATCCAACTTTTCACTCAATGCTTAGCATGCAATTTATAGTAAAGATTTCGTTAAATGTAAAAAATGCTAAATCTTTGGTAGTAGTCTCATATTTTGGACTCCACTGAATTCATTAGAAATATTTAGGATACTTTGATATATTTAACACACACACACACACACACACACAAAACTTAATGTGTTTCCTCTATTGACAGCATTAGCATCATCCCGTCAGTATCACTTTGTGAATGAGAGTAAGACCTGGACTGAAGCTCAGAGATACTGCAGACAGAATTACACTGATCTGGCCACCATTGATAACATGGAGGAAATGAACAGACTGATTAACACAGTTAATGGGACTTACAATGATTCAGCCTGGATTGGAGAGTATGATGATGTGAGCAGCTGGAGATGGTCACTGGAAGACAATGATTTCTATCAGGAAGGAGAGAGAGATTTCAGGAACTGGTATCATGAACCGGACAACAGTGGAGGGAACCAGTTGTGTGTTTACATGAATTATAATGGAAAATGGTATGATATGTCATGTGACAACACACTGCCATTTGTTTGCTATGATGGTAAGGACTTTTTTAAAATATAAATTAGATATTTTATTTCAGTGAGAGCTAATGCGCATATACATTTGGCATTTCATATCTCAGGTAGAGAGACCGCCACAGAGAGTTACATCGTAATCTATAACTGGGAAACCTGGTCAGAGGCTCGTAGATACTGCAGAGAACATTATACAGATCTCGCCAATGTGAGAAATCAGACTGAGAACCAGAGGATCCTTGAGAAAGCAGGTGGAGGAGTCTGGATAGGACTGTACAGAAACAGGATTTGGTCAAACAGTCAGAATACCAATTATCAAAACTGGAGGCCGCAAATTCCTGGGTTATCGGCGCAACCAGATAATGTTGTTAACTACGTTGATGCATACGGATATCAGCACTGCACTGCAGTGTCATTCAGATATTCAGGCCGATGGACAGATGAGATATGTGTATCCAGCATGCCTTTCTTCTGCTACAGCAGTAAGTTCACTTGCTTTATTGGATGCCATTATTTAGCAGGAATCAGAAAGACTTTAATCACCTTTCTCCAACATGAAAGATTTAATTTGGACAGATATAATCCATTGTATTTGGTATGCAAATCATGACAGGAAAAAAATTTATTAACTACTAATTTGTACAATGACAATTTGTTCACAATATCATGATTTACTGGTACATCAGCGACCAGCTCATGGCAACTATTGTTTTTTTCTGTGCTGTAAAACAATTCACAGGAACCTGCACACAATATTCATGTACTCGTCAGTATCACTTTGTGAATGAGTCTAAGACCTGGACTGAAGCTCAGAGATACTGCAGACAGAATTACACTGATCTGGCCACAATTGATAACATGGAGGAAATGAGCAGGCTCATTAAAACAGTGCGTGGCACTTACTTTGGATCAACTTGGATTGGACTCTATGAAGATCTGAACAGCTGGAGATGGTCTCTAGATAATTCAGCATTAGAGGGAGGATTTAAAAGCTGGTTTATTCAACAGCAAGTGAACTCAGGTGGACAGAGTCTGTGTGTGTACATGTCATATTATCGGGGAACATGGAGTGAAGCCTTTTGCTACTATACACTTCCCTTTGTTTGCTATGATGGTGAGAACTGCTGTTGGTCTCTTAAAGAGTTAGAACAAAATATTTATGATTACATGATATATCACATATTTAAATTGCTTCCCACAGGAAGAGCAAACGCTAGTACAAGTTATGTGTTTGTTTATCAGTACAAAACCTGGACTGAAGCTCAGAGTTACTGCAGAGAACATCACACAGACCTCATCAGTATCAGGAATGAGACTGAAAACTACAGGGTTCAGTCATTAATTCCATATTCTTCAGTTTTTTGGATTGGACTGTACAGAACCAGATCTTGGTCAGATCAGAGCAACTCTTCATTCAGTAACTGGAGAACAGGACAGCCTGATAATGCTGGAAACAGTGAATACTGCACTGCAGTGTCATTTAGTGAATCTGGGAACTGGACAGATGAAAACTGCAACACTGCATTACCTTTCATTTGCTACAGCGGTGAGTAGATCTCTAGCCTGAAAAAAAGAAAAAAAAACTGTACATTTTTAAACAGTGAGACAAAGTAACAAATAAGAATAAGATATATTAGAATATCACAAATTAAAGGGACTGATAAAATAAAGGTGTGACTTGATCAAACATGTTTCTTTTGCATCATTACATTTTTCTCTGCCCTGACAGCATTAGCATCTTCCCGCGAGTATCACTTTGTGAATGAGTCTAAGACCTGGACTGAAGCTCAGAGATACTGCAGACAGAATTACACTGATCTGGCCACCATTGATAACATGGAGGAAATGAACAGACTGATTAACACAGTTAATGGGACTTACAATGATTCAGCCTGGATTGGAGAGTATGATGATGTGAACAGCTGGAGATGGTCACTGGAAGACAATGATTTCTATCAGGAAGAAGAGAGGGATTTCAGGAACTGGTATCATGAACCGAACAACATTAATGGGAATGAAATGTGTGTTTTCGATTATAATGGAAACTGGTTTGATTCATCATGTGAATATCATTTCATATTTGTTTGCTACGATGGTAAGACATTGCAAGTAATTTTTTTTCTTCTTATAATGTCAAAGATCCTAAACTGTTAGGGTTAGTGTTCACTGGAAGACAATGATTTCTATCAGGAAGAAGAGAGAGATTTTAGGAACTTTTATCATGAACCAAACAATGCTGGGAATGAACTATTATCCATGTGTTTACATGGATAGTAATGGAAAATGGTTTGATTATTTATGTGACAATTCTTATCCATTTGTCTGCTATGATGGCAAGACATTCCAATTTAATGTTTTTATGTACATTTTGAGTTTCCTTTTTGTAAAACACTAGTTGCTGAGTCAAAGCCTCAACCACCCAAATGTACCACCCAAAAACATCAGGTTTATTGAGTGTTATGTAGATGCAAGCAGATACTATAAAGATGTTCAATGTTCAAGTTGTAAACTTAAAACGAATTGTAAATGTCAGTGTATTTTAGATATAAATGTATGCATTTAAAAGCCAGATGAATTAACCAATGAACGGACTTATATTTTTTTATCTTAGGTAGAGAAAACGCCACTCAGAAGTATATTATGGTATATGACTCTAAGACCTGGACTGAAGCTCAGAGCTACTGCAGAGAGAAATACACAGACCTGGCCAGTGTGAGGAATGAGACAGAACATCAACAGATACTGAGCATTACCCGTTATTATGGACAGTATGTATGGATTGGTCTGCACAGAAACAGACTGTGGTCAGATCAGAGCAGCTCCTCCTTCACATATTGGCTCCCACACACCTCATCGGTTGCTGCACAACCAGATAATGGTGCAAATGTCCCAGGACAGCAGGGATCTCAACACTGCACAGCTGTGTCTTTACAATACTTTGGCCAGTGGACAGATGAGAGTTGCCTTGCCAGTTTGCCTTTCTTCTGTTACAGTGGTGAGCAAATATACCTACAGTACTATAATGAAATAAAATAATAAACATCAGGCTGTTACACACAAAAACAAGAAAATATGGATATAAATGTGGATTCTGTAAAATAAAAAGAAACTAAAGTCTGCATAATAAGTGTGACATATGATACTTATGCTAAAGTTTTGCTTATCCAAGCCTTCTGTTTGTTTTTCACTGAACCTGCTGAACATCACATCAACCTATTCAGATGAGTATGGTATGTTTGAGTATAAATGTGATCTATTTTTTTCTGCTATTTTCAATAAAGCACCGTAAAATAATTTGGAGGTCTTGGAGTTTTATGTTTACATGCTTTAATTGAGACTGAAACTGAACTGAAATGACATTTTTTTCAATGTAGCAAGCGAACATAAAGATTTGAGTTTTGACCTCTAAAATCTTTTACAGTGTGGGTGTAATAATTATTAATTTTAACACCTGACCTGTTTTTTTTAATTATTATTTTTTTTTTATCAGTTATGGGAATGCGAGTAGAAGTTACAAGTCTAGACAATTTATCAGAGTCTCAGATTGAAGAGCTTGTGATTATACAGGTAAGTAAAAGTCAATATGACTCACTTACCTACCGTACTGAATATTTACCATGTTTTTACATAAACATTGTATTTTATGCTTTATTTAGTTTATTGATACTACATATAATTTTCTGTATAAACATTTAATTTCAAAAGAACTCTAGGCAACAGTGCAATAAATACTTTTAAATTTGAATAATAAATAAATTAAAATAAATAAATTTGATACTTAAACAATATGACTGACATATCAAATCAGTGCATGATTGTCATGAAGCTCATATATTTTCAGTTACAAGAGGAGCTGATGAGGCTCGGACTTCCCAGCAACGTCACCATGAATTTAAGAGACTATCGTAAGATCAAGCCCTGACAGAGGATGTTCCAATGGTCCTATTAAATCAGTGAAGGGCTTTGTATCAAAATTAATGTAGCTTGAATTTAACATTAAAATGATGGAAAATTGGGCTTACAGTACAGCTGTATATAGTTTAATCAATAGTTTTCCATAAAAAGGCAAAACAGGTGAAAACAATACCATTATGCTCTTTATACCAATGATTTTTGACATCAATATGATCTGCATATGAAAAATTTGAATATAAGATGACGGGGGATTTTGTGTTTGTTTTGAAGTTATGCATAACAATGGTACTGAATGTCATATCTGTAAAGTTAAATAAAGTTTGAAATTTTGAAAGGAAGCTGTGTTTTGTGGCTCTTAAGTTTTAGTATAGTACAATCAAAAGGATGAAAAAATGATTACAATAATGAACCTGGCACCTTCTTCTCCTCAGTTTTACCTAGTAAGGTGCTGAAGCACATGTAACTAAATAAATCGCATACAAAAATAAGAAAGAATGTGGACATAAAAACAAAGCTTTCCTGTTAATAGTTTGACCTAATTCCCCTGATTTGCACATAGCTGTTTTCTTTACCAAGACTTAGAACATAGATGCCATATGAAATAAGAGTTTTCATTTTTAGGTGAATTATTCCTTTACTAATTATTAGGATGTAGTAAATAATTAAGATGTAAAACACAGATTTTCAAGAGATACAATTAAATACAGTGTCATGACTGGATAAACATACTGCATACAAACAAAAAGCGTAGCTGTCACTACTCATAGTGAGATACCAAACGCCTTGAGTTGAAAGCAGACGAGAGTACGGCTGCAGTCAGGAAAGCAGTGAAATAAGCGCAGTCAAGATGGACAGTTCTCGCTTCTCGTGAGCCCCATCATTTCTCTTCTCATGAGCCCTATCAGATTGGTCGTGGCGGTGGTATTGCAACAATATTCATGGGTTTCAGTCACGTGACTTTTTTGTTGCGGCCGCCATCTTTAGGACCTTGCGTAGCCTCTCCTTGGTAATCGGAAACCAAAATAACACTTCACCAACAACGGAAAACAATGGTATTTAAAAAAAATATATACTTTAGGATTAGATCCTTATTTACTCTCAAGCGAATTGCTGACTCCACTAAAGTCTAGTGAAAACTTACCAACTTGACGTTTGCTGATAGGCTGTTTACATCTACCTCATACACAATCCCTCTCCGTACACTCGGGCCATTTTCAGTTAAATTTTCACCTGCTAGAGACTTGTCCATCGGCCCGGATCCATCTGCAGCACCCGGCCTGGATGCTTGCGTACTCACTTTCAGATTCTGGGCCGAATCAACCGGACCAGATGCGACAGCCAGTGAAATAAGCACAGTCAAGATGGACAGTTCTCGCTTCTCGTGAGCCCCATCATTTCTCTTCTCATGAGCCCTATCATATTGGTCGTGGCGGTGGTATTGCAACAATATTCATGGGTTTCAGTCACGTGACTTTTTTGTTGCGGCCGCCATCTTTAGGACCTTGCGTAGCCTCTCCTTGGTAATCGGAAACCAAAATAACACTTCACCAACAACGGAAAACAATGGTATTTAAAAAAAATATATACTTTAGGATTAGATCCTTATTTACTCTCAAGCGAATTGCTGACTCCACTAAAGTCTAGTGAAAACTTAACAACTTGACGTTTGCTGATAGGCTGTTTACATCTACCTCATACACAATCCCTCTCCGTACACTCGGGCCATTTTCAGTTAAATTTTCACCTGCTAGAGACTTGTCCATCGGCCCGGATCCATCTGCAGCACCCGGCCTGAGTTTCAATATGAACTTGCTAACTAAAATACTAAAATATAAAAACTCATCTATGCTTAAGAGAAATATTTTATCAAAAGAATCCCATACATCCACATCTCTTGGTAAATAATCCATTGTGATTTGCTGTTATCACAGCCCAGAGCACAGCACAGCAGATTGACGGAATTGCAATTCGGTCCTGCAAATGGCGGCTGCACCACTGTGTGACGTGACATGAAACCTATGAATAGAGAGATATTCTCAATGTTACTCAGAAATAATGTACCAGATTCAGTATGCACCTTAATGATGACCCTTGGCGTTAATATACAGCAGTTGTGTCAGCGCGTGATGTAATAAAACTGCAGCTCGTTAATAAACAACGTATTTTTGTTTGATCCATTTTATACAATCCGCTTTCATTCAGCAAGTGCACTCATGCAAAAACAGTTTTCAAGTTCAACACTTTTTGTTCCATTCAGTTGTAGATGCTGCTGATAGAGCAGGTTATTCTCCCAGACAGGCCCCGCAAAGAGACGTGCGTGTGAGTGTGTGTGTTTTCTTTTGACCCTACCAGGTCAAGAAAATATGATCATATTACCCCAATTTTACAAACTCTCCACTGCCTATACCTAAGTTCCATATCAATTACAAAATATTGCTGCTTACTTATAGGGCCCTAAATGGTTTAGCTCTTGCGTCTTCTATCATGCTACAATCCAATACTTAATGTCGCAAAACTTTGGACCTCTTATGAAGATTTGAGATGACGCCAACCCTGAACCAGTTGACAAAATTACGGATTTTCCTTAAACTACTATCATTTTAATCACAACATAAAATGATTGCTGTTAATCATGTTCACCATTTCTGTTTAAATACATGTCATTAACTAACTGCACAATTTTAACTATCCTAGAATAGCACATGTCTGCCATATGGACATCTCTTTGATTTATGGACACACTTTGATAAATTACTCCTGTTGTATAGAAACATTCATTTTCTGTGAAGCTGCTTTGCAACAATGTCTATTGTGAAAAATAATAGAGTAATTCTTTTGCACTTAACATAAAAGTATGTTTGTATGATCACCCTATATGTCCTCCCTTTTGCTGTTTTCAATCCTAATTTTTTTTTTTTTTTTTTACGTATCACTGATTTACTGTGTTCACTGTTCAGTACCGATCAATTGTTTATATATATATATATATATATATCTCAGAAATATCTCACAGAAAACAAATCATAAATTGTAGTTTCAGGAAGAATTTATCAGATGAGGACTTCCCAGCAACTTGAAAATGCATTTGAGAAACTATCGTAAAACTGGTCTATGAGAGGTTAGGACAGCATTCCTGCACAAGCAAATGGTTTCATGTTTCATTAAACTACCACTGACCTACATTTTGAATGTTCTCTCCCTTAAGAAAATTACTCATGTTTTTTTTTTTTTGGCATATTGATTACCATTTGTATAACCACAGTTTTACTACAAATACCATGGTTAAACTATGGTTATTGTAGCAAAACCATGGTTAATTTGTTGTTACCACGGTTTAACTATAGTAACCATTTGTTTGTTTTTAGATGTAGGAAAATGTAGGTTGTCTGTACTCATATTATTGCATTGTTGCAATTTTCTTAGATTTAAGGGATTTGATCACCTGGGCACACATTTTAATTTTATATTTGTTAATTTATTTGTTAAGATATTGTTGATCGATCAAATATAATGACAAATCAAAACATGGGCTGCATGAAAGACTCATATGATTTAGTCTTGAGTTGTTAGTTATTTAGAAATGTTGTTTCTCTGTTTTATGGTCTAAATGGTCATAGCACTCACAAGTTCAGAAAATGTAAGCGATTCTTATTCTAAAGGAATAAAGATTTTGGTCAAGTGTTGTGTAAAGCATTTGTTTCATGTAACAGCAGAATGAGGAAGATTTTAGGTTTATGTTTTTTTTTGTACATTTAATACAGCAGTTATGTGAACCATCAGGTTTATTGATGTCAGTTGTGTTTATAAAAATGATCCCTCCCACATTTTGTAAACAGTATAAATATGAAGACAGTCAGATAGTTTAAAACAAAAGCAGCAAGATAAAAGACGAGGCTTCAACTAAAAAGGTAAATTGTTGCATTTTTAAAGATATTTTAAATGTTTAATAAATGAGACAAATTACAGTTAATGCAAATAATGCAAAATTTGCCGTTTTTCAATACATTTTGATCAGTTCTTGTTTCTTGTTGATTGCTAAATAATGATTAATGTAGGTTGTCTGTACTCATATTATTGCATTTTGTAAACAGTATAAATATGCAGAGAGTAACATAATTTAAAACAAAAGCATTGTTAATCATTTTTAAAATGGCTTTTCTCCTGGCATTTAAAGCATTAAAATAAATAAAATTATTTGATTGTTTTTACATGTGTATACTATTTTCCACAGCTATGTTTCCATTGCTTCTATTATCGGGTAAGAGAAATATTTTCATAAAACATTTTATCATCAATTAAACTGACATTTTGTATAAGAGTATGTTGTGGAGTTTGTCTAGCTACTAATATTACACAAAAAAAAAACTAAAACTAAACTTGAACTCTTTAATAGGGTTTCTCACCTTCGCCTTGAGTGTCCCTCATCAGTATGTCTTTGTGAATGAATCCATGACTTGGGCAGAAGCTCAGAGATACTGTAGAGAGAAATACACTGATCTGGCCACCATTGAAAATGAACAACAGACGGTCCAGTTGATCGACACAGTGAATGATGATTCCATTGATTTGGCCTGGATTGGACTCTATGATGATCTGAACAGTTGGAAATGGACTCTAGAGGACAGTGATTTCTTCAAGGTTGGAGAGAAAGACTTTAGGAACTGGTATGACCCAGGACCAGACAATTATGGAGGACAAAGTCTGTGTGTGTATATGGACAATGGGATATGGTATACGACATACTGTTTCAATTATCTTCCTTTTATCTGCTATGATGGTAAGCAGTTTAATTAATAATATGTATGGAACACTGAAAAACGAATAATTATATTTAATTACAAGTATTCTTAAATAATCAACTCTCACTAAAGTTCAAAACTGTATTTAAATGTTTCAGGAAGACAGAATGCCAGTGCTAGTTATGTGTTTGTCAACCAGTACAAAACCTGGACTGAAGCTCAGAGTTACTGCAGAGAACATCACACAGACCTCGTCAGTATCAGGAATGAGACTGAAAACCAGAAGATCCAGGATTTATTAAAGAATAACTATTACTATTATTACCGGTATGTGTGGATTGGACTGTACAGAACCAGATCTTGGTCAGATCAGAGCAACTCTTCATTCAGTAACTGGAGGACAGGACAGCCAGATAACACTGGATCCTGCACTGTAGTCTCATTCAGTGACTCTGGGAAATGGACTGATGAATACTGCGATTATAGATTTCCTTTAATTTGCTACAGTGGTGAGTGGATGTCTATGTAGTGGCCAGGACTGTCAAAATGTTTTAAATGTTAACATTTTACACTTTCTTCACAGTGTCATCTTTGACATCATCCCGTCAGTATCACTTTGTGAATGAGAGTAAGACCTGGACTGAAGCTCAGAGATACTGCAGACAGAATTACACTGATCTGGCCACCATTGATAACATGGAGGAAATGAACAGGCTGATTAACACAGTTAATGGGACTTACAATGGTTCAGCCTGGATTGGACTGGATTGGACTGATGATGTGAACAGCTGGAGATGGTCACTGGAAGACAATGATTTCTATCAGGAAGAAGAGAGAGATTTCAGGAACTGGTATCATGAACCGGACAACAGTGGGGGGAACCAGCTGTGTGTTTACATGAATTATAATGGTAAATGGTATGATATGTCATGTGACAACACACTGCCATTTGTTTGCTATGGTGGTAAGGACATTTCATTATTATTAATATTATTATTATTATCTATTAATAATTTTTTTCAGTAAGTTTTTCTATGCATATATATATATATATATATATATATATATTCCCTCAGGTAGAGGGAATGCAACACAAAGTTTTATCAGAATCAATGATCAGAAAACCTGGTCAGAGGCTCGTAGATACTGCAGAGATCATTACACAGATCTTGTCAATGTGAGAAATCAGACTGAGAACCAAAGGATCCTTGAGACAGCAGGTGGAGGAGTCTGGATAGGACTGTACAGAAACAGGATTTGGTCAAACGGTCAGAATACCAATTATGAAGACTGGAGACCAGCCGTTCCCTATTCAGAACAACAACCAGATAATGGTGAATATGTTTATGGCCAGTGGGGCTTGCAGCACTGTACTGCTGTATCATTCAGTCATTTAGGTCGATGGACTGATGAGAACTGCTTAGCCAGCTTGACTTTTATCTGCTACAACAGTAAGTTTATTTTTGCTCTCTTTTTTATCACTTATGTTTTTCTAATACCACTTTTTGTAATGTCTAATCAATGTATAGATTTCATTTATATTTATATTAATTATTATTATTATAATAGATTTTAAAACCATTTACCACATATTTTAATTTGCACATTGCAAAAGTTGTTCTTCAAGTTGTTAACAGCAGGTGTTAATTAAAGGGGTCATATGATGCGATTTCAATTTTTCCTTTTTCTTTGGAGTGTTAATTTATAATGGATTTTCATGTTTTTGAATCATCACTCCGACCTGACAGGGCATCATCACAATATGGCAAGGGGCGTAACATTTCCGTCTGTGTTTTTTTGAACCTTAAACCGCATAAACACATTTCATTACACCAAATACACAAAATACTGTTCTTTTTAGCAGCATCATATGACCCCTTTAATATAGACAGGTATAATTTTAATAATTTCTACTTTATTCAATATTTTTATTACATTTAAAAAAATCTTCACAATAAATGAATTTTCATAGTTTTTAATTATATATTGCAGTTCTGCAGAGAAAAATCAAACATATTTCCCTGTTTTATATTTTAAACTTAAAGGAACCTGCACACAATCTTCATGTACCCGTCAGTATCACTTTGTGAATGAGTCTAAGACCTGGACTGAAGCTCAGAGATACTGCAGACAGAATTACACTGATCTGGCCACCATTGATAACATGGAGGAAATGAAGAGGCTCTATAAAAGAGTATACAGAACTTACTATGGCAAAGCTTGGATTGGTCTCTATGATGATATAAACAGCTGGAAATGGTCTCTGGAAAACGTCATGTTTGATGGAGGATTTAAAAGCTGGTTTGTTCAGGAGCAAGTGAACTCAGGTGGACAGAGTCTGTGTGTGTACATGTCATATTATCGGGGAACATGGAGTGAAGCCTTTTGCTACTATACACTTCCCTTTGTTTGCTATGACGGTGAGAACTGCTGTTGATTTTTTAATGTTTTAAGAACAACATACAGTATTTATGATACTCAGATATATCACATCTACATATATATTCCCCACAGGAAGAGTGAATGCTAGTACAAGTTATGTGTTTGTTTATCAGTACAAAAATTGGACTGCAGCTCAGAGTTACTGCAGAGAACATCACACAGACCTCGTCAGTATCAGGAATGAGACTGAAAACTTCAAACTTCAATCATTATTTTCATATTATTACTATTTTTGGATTGGACTGTACAGAACCAGATCTTGGTCAGATCAGAGCAACTCTTCATTCAGTAACTGGAGAGCAGGACAGCCTGATAATGCTGGAAACAGTGAATACTGCACTGCAGTGTCATTTAGTGAATCTGGGAACTGGACAGATGAAAACTGCAACACTGCATTACCTTTCATTTGCTACAGCGGTGAGTAGATCATTTAGACCCCAACAGAGTCTTGCGAGAAACATACACTCTCAGCTGTCTGTGATATTTTGTGCACCTCTAATAAAAGAAATAAAACGATGTTGACATTTTTTAGAAGATTTAACTACTGAATGTTCGAAAAAAGGCAATACTTTATAATAACTTTCCTTAATCATCAACAAACATAATATAATGCTTAATACATCATTAGTTAATATATATTCAAATAGCTACAAAAATTAAATAATGTGCTTGTAAATGTTTACTAATGAACTTACTGAATATCACATAATGATTAACAGAACATTAGTTAACAAATTAAAATGGTTACAAATGTTGTTACACTCAATTCATATATGATCATGCACTTTATAAAAATCTACAAACAATTTGAAGATGTTATACACTGATTACCAGCATTTGAATGCTCAAGTGCTTTGAATGCCATTAATCCTCTCTAATGCACTTTTCTAATCATCTAATGCGCTTTTATATTTACAATCACAAATTCTGTAAAAATGTTAGTCATTTTAAGCACTTCATACACTATTCATGTTGACACATGATTCATTAACTCATGACCACAGTCTGTAAAGTGGTTTAAACAAATAGTTTAATGGCATTTCTAAGTATTCAAATGTACATTAATGAACATGCTGTTAAACAGTGCACAACATCTGATAAAATTTTTTGTAAACATTTTTTTCATTTATGAATTGAATGTTTAATGAAATCAAGCATTTAAAATTTATGTTAACTAATGGTCTGTTATTATTTTGTAATGTAATGTTATCATTATGTAATGTTCAATAAGTTAATTCGTAAACATTTACAAGCACATTATCTCATGTCATTACAAGGAATCTTTGTTGCAATTAATGCAACTTGTTAACGTTTATCTTTTTAACTTTTATCTTCACCCTTTTTTCCCACCTTGACAGCATTAGCATCATCCCGTCAGTATCACTTTGTGAATGAGTCTAAGACCTGGACTGAAGCTCAGAGATACTGCAGACAGAATTACACTGATCTGGCCACCATTGATAACATGGAGGAAATTAACAGACTGATTAACACAGTTAATGGGACTTACAATGGTTCAGCCTGGATTGGACTGTATGATGATGTGAACAGCTGGAGATGGTCACTGGAAGACAATGATTTCTATCAGGAAGAAGAGAGAGATTTCAGGAACTGGTATCATGAACCGAACAATAGAGTAAATGAACTGTGTGTTTACATGGATTCCAATGGAAACTGGTTTGATTCATCATGTGACAATTATTACACATTTGTTTGCTATGATGGTAAGAAGTTACAAGTAAAAAAATTGTCATTGTATGAAGTTAGATCAGAAATTAATAAATTGACTGATACACATCCATTATATTATGTTTTATTTTAGGTACAGGAAACAGCTCTCAGAAATATGTTTGGATATATGAGCGTAGGACCTGGACTGGAGCTCAGAGCTACTGCAGAGAGAAATACACAGACCTGGCCAGTGTGAGGAATGAGACAGAATATCAACAGATACTGAGCATTACCCGTTATTATGGATATAATGTATGGATTGGTCTGCACAGAAACAGACTGTGGTCAGATCAGAGCAACTCTTCCTTCACATATTGGCTTCCGTGGACTCAAGCTGTTACTGCACAACCAGATAATGGTATAAGTGTCCCAGGACTGCAGGGATCTCAACACTGCATAGCTATGTCTTTACAATACGTTGGCCAGTGGACAGATGAGAGCTGCTTTGCCAGTTTGCCTTTCTTCTGTTACAGTGGTGAGCTAATATACCCTCTCTAATTAAATAAAAGAATACACATCGAGGGAAAAGAGCAAATTCATTGTAATCAAATTTTGATTTGTTAAAATGAAAGCCATTGTTGTTTATGTAACTCAGTATTTTTTATACTAATGCTAGCTCTGTCTTCTGTTTGCTTTCTGCTGGACATGATGAACATCATATTGACCCATCAACTCAGATAAGTATGGTATGTATGTATGCATGTATAGATGCGCTCTTTACTGCTGTTTTCATTCCAAAAAGTGTGTTTTTCAACATATATCAACATCACCAGATGTTCGTGTGTGTGTGTGTGTGTGTGTGTGTTTATGCACTACTGACCATTTTTGTTTGTTTGTTTGCTTACTGATCAGTGACGGGGCTTAGATTGGAAGTTACAAGTCTGGAGAATCTGTCAGAGTCTCAAATTGAAGAGCTGGTGATTATGCAGGTGAGAAACATGTAATGTAAAACATAATAGTTTTACTTTTTGTTTTATTATTGTACAACAATAACACACACAGAGAAAATAAATAAATCACTTTGAGAACAACAGAGGCAATATTGTTAACAGTTCTTGTCATGATATATTTAGTTCAGAAATATTAGTTCACGGAGAACAAATCTTGTTTCAGCTCCAGGAAGAATTTATCAGACAAGGACTTCCCAGCAACTTCACCATGCATTTGAGAAACTATCGTAAAACCAGTCCATGAGAGACAAGGACAGCACCTGCACAAAATAGAGAAAATAGTATAGGTTTCATGTTTTATCAAACTATGTCAGAACATCTGCATTTTGCATGTTTTTTTGCCATGCTTTGTGCTATTGATATTGAACAAAAATTCTGAACTTCACGTGATAGTACCTGAAAAATAATCACAATTACATGATTATTTTTTTCAGATTATATTTATCTTATATTTTTAACAAATATAAGATGTCTTCATTGCAGACTTTTCACTTGTTAATATTTGTTTTAAATAATGATTAACATACAGTAAATTACAGTTTTTTATTTGTATTTTTGCTGCAATGATTTGTTAATTCGGCCCGAGACATTGGGATAGGCTCCAGTATATCCGTGATCCGACAGGACAAACGGTTTGGAGAATGGACGGATGATTTGTTGATCTGTTTATGAACTTATATGGTAATCAAAACATAATGACAAATCAACTTTTTTGGCACTTCAGGAATATAATTTTATTTGTCTATAGTACAGTGGAATGTTACAGTACAACAACATACAGTTGAACAACCAGATGAAGAAAAATATTGACATGCCTTAGAAATCATAAGACACACATTCACAATAAATGGGTCTGGTGGAAGTGTTACTGTACGTGTGGGTGGCAGGAATAACATGCTTCAGTCTTGAGTTTCCTTTAGTTGTTTAGAAATTTTGCATATCTCTTTTATGGACTATATGGTCATGGGGTATTTTATATCATAATGTTTGCAGGTTTATCATACATTTCAATAAATACTCACAAGAATGTTGGTCTCTTTCTTTAGTTCTGGACCTATAAAGACCACTGGGGTTGACCAAGGAACAATTAAGTTCAGTGGTTTTCAATCCTGGTCCTGAGGGCCCACTGCTCTGCACATTTTCCCTTATCTGACACACTCAGCTAAGTTCATGGAGCTCTCACCTAATGAGCTGGTGATCTGAATCATGTGCGTTAAATAAAGGAGACATACAAAATGTGCAGAGCAGTGGGTCCCAAGGACCAGTTAGTTAGTTAACAAAATAAAAATCTAAAACATCTAAACACCCTGTCATTGAGAATAATATCTTCAGTCAGGATAATTTTGTGATTGACACATTGACCAACAAAATAGAGAGCTAGATAATATATTGTGGTGCAAACAAACAAAAATTATATTCTATAAATGATTTCTGAATCTTTGTGTGTGTGCAGAGGGATATGGTATGCAACAAGCATTTCCTTTTTTTTTTTTTTTTTTGCATTTTAAAGTCAATGTAATTTGTGTCAGGGTCCTGCCCTGATAGGCTTGTCTGTCTTGCCACTGTTTAATGTTTCTTTGTTTGTCTTGTGCTTGAGCACATGGCTTTGTTTGTGTTGGCCATGTGCTCCTCTTGTCCCACCTCCTTGTTTCCTGTTACCACGCCCCCTTGTTTAGTCCTAGCTGCATCCAAAAATAAATACATCCCTACTATATAGTAGGCAAAAAACAGTATGTGACTAAATAAGTATGTCTGAATTTACAGTACTTATAAAAGATTAGGCAAAAAGTTCCCGGACCTACTACTTCCGGTGTAATTCTGAAGTGTGCATACGATGGACACTTTACTATCCCATGAGGCCACAGGAGAGAATTTATGAATGGCACTGACATGACGCAACTGACGCTGGTAGGTCCTGTGACAATGACAACATGGCGAATGTAGTATGTACAGATTACATTCATACTACACACAGTCATACTAGGCAGTGCCGGCCCTACCCTAATAAGCGATATAATCAGTTGCATAGGGCCCCCGTGCCCACCAGGGGTCCCCCTGCCAGGGGTTCACACAAGCAGGGGGTGGGGGAGACTAGACATAGTCTCAGAAAAATGGCTGCAGGAATCTCATTTTTCATGTTATCTTCTTCAAATTTTAAATATAAACTCATGAGACATGTGACTTTCAACCCATTACTTTTCTGGATTGCTCCTGGACTGATTTCATGTATTTGTATATGAAATAAAAATAAAAAAACATTCAGTGTGGTACAATTTTTTTCAAGGCACTTCGGTGTCTATAACTTTATATCTTTTTGAACATTATCAACTCTGGATGATGAATAGTAAAGCCTAAATTGTCTTCTTTCCAAAGATACCTAAATTGTGTGTGTAGCACACTGTTGTCAGGAACTGTTACCATTTTAAGTTAGGTAGGTCATTTTCAGCTGTGTGTCCCAAAATGGGGGGAGCAGGTTATCAGGTTAAGAGTTTGTATACAAATCAGTTAATTTCAACCATTATAGTAATGTAGTACCATCTGACTCTCGTGTATATTTTATAGCATTAGTTGAGAGTTTTTTTTCCTTGAGAAAATTTGGTATGTACTTCACCTGATATATATCCAAAATAATCGATATTGAATCAAATCGAATCTCAAGCTTGTGAATCTGAATCGAATTGAATAGAAAAATTTGTGTCAAAACCCAGCCCTTATTCATACTATATAGTACTCTTTTTGCAGTTGCAAAGTAATTACTAATACAAAAACGTACCTACTCAAGAGAATATGCGATTTTGGACACAGCCCCTGTCTAGTCCTTGTTGGCTTGATTGTATTCACCTGATCCTCATGTGTTCTGCTCCCTTTATATTGTGCTCCTTTTCCCTCATGTCTTCACTGGTTTGTTGTGGTGCTTTCCTGTTTGCCTGCCTGTGCCTACAGTTAAATATTGTTCTTGTTTGAGTTGTGGATTTGATCTTGTTTCTAGTTGTAGTGTTTAGTTTTTTCCCCTTCTCTAGCCTTGTTCTACTTATAGCCCTTGTGCTTCCTAGTCTTGTTTCTTGATTCAATAATTTCCCCTCTCTTTTAGTAAATCTAGTTCCCTGCAAGTTTAGTTATTTTGTCTTATTTTTTTTGTTTGCAAGTTTCAGTTATTTATTTCTAGTTTTCTTTCTTTTTTCTTTTTCTCTTTTTTCTGGTCATAGTTCTTTGCATCAGGTTTCATGTGGCCTCTTAGAGCCTTGTCTTGTTATCATATTGTGTCTTTTCTTGTTCACTGTGAGTCTTGTGTTCGTTCCTGCCCTGTGTCCTGAGTTTTCCTGACTGCTGACTCCCACTGCCTGGAAGCAGGACTGGTGTACCTGCCTGATTCTCAAGTGGCAAGCCTCTGGGTCTGTGAGCCTCTGCCTGGCAGCAAGACTGGTGCTACATCTAAGAGATCACCAAGCCTCTGGAATCCTTGTGTGAAGGATTTCCAGCATGAAGGAGCGGAGGGTGGCTGACCGAGGTGGTGGTGCTGGAGTGATTGTTCAACAGGTGGGACAGAGGGCTCACTGCCGTGCTCCTGGGTCGAGGAGGGGTGGCTGCCGTCCGAGAGGGAGCAGAGGAGTTGGCGCCGTTTGCCAGGAGGCCTGAGCCTGCTACTGCTGTCCGGCATGTCTGAGGAGGAGCAGGGAACGGGGGACTCGCTGCCGGCTGCCCTCAACAGGCGTGAGAGCCTCTCAGCTGGTTGAGGACCAAGCAGCAGTGTGTCCGGAAATTTTTTTTTTTTTCTGAGTACCCCGCCTGCGATGGGGGAATGTGAAGAGTGGGGTGGGGCCGAGAGCCATGCACTGCACTGCACAATGAATCTCTTATTTACAGAACACAAATACACACTGAAGCGTTTGCCAAATATATTTCGCCAATATCATATGGGGCCCCCTGATTCCCCAGGGCCCTAAGCGGCCACTTGCATATTTTGCATGCCTCTCTTGTTTAACACACCTGATTCAAATCACCAGGGGTCTCATTTATAAACATTGCGTACGCATAAAATGGCCATGGAAATTGCGTACGCAATTTTCCACGCACATATCGGTATTTATAAAAAATAAACTTGGAGTAAATATGTAGGCACTGTACGGACATTCTCGACCATGCGTACGCACTCTTTTTCCTGGAGCGAGAAAGGTAATGAAGTAAACAACGATTTTAAAATCAGTTTTCATTTCGATATACACATTTACATTAAATACTCCACTCTCATTAATGGAGATAAGCACTGAAATTACATTAAGTTATTACGCAGAAGTTAAGCAAAAATTATATGAATTTAGACATATTTAGTGGATGCGCTTGATCACTTGTCCTGTGGCATGCTGTTTTAATGACAGCGAGGAGTGCTATAGGTGCACAATATGAGAAAATATTTTAGTGAGAACAATGATGCGCACTTACTTCGATATTATGGCAGACACTGCAGGATTCTGGTCTATTGTCCGGTTTGAATGGGTCCAATGATAATAGCTTACTGTACAACCAGCTGCATGGAGGTGTTGATGTCGTGTGAAGGCATCTCCACAACATTATGAAAAATGCCACTGTATTTGAAGGATACAACTTGAAGAAAATGGTAATTTGCATGTTTTCTTTTTAAAATAGGCTACGTTGTCAGTGACACGCAGAGTCAGACAATTCTATTTACACTGCAATAAATATAGGCTAAAAATAGCTAAAAGATGTTCACCTTATCAGCAAAACTGCTTAAATTAAATTAAATTTGATTTGAATTGTTTAAAACAATTGAAATACTATTTGGCCAGTGGAAAAGAATGAGATCAACTCTATTCTAAAATATTTATCTGAGAACTATTTTAAACAGTTTTGTTTTTATGGATTTTGATATATTTATTCTAAAACATAACAAGGATACTGGATGATTTTTAGTAATAAAAATTGCATATGGCACAAATGGCATTTATAGTGCGTATCTCATATTTCCTTAATGTCTTGTACCTTTAACGGTGTTAAAT